CAACCATTCGGTTCCTTGCTTCGAGTGCTGGCACAGGGAACTGTGCGTTTCCTAAGCGTAAAGAGCAGAAAGTAATCGCAGAAAGTACTTCTCACCTGAATTTTTTTGCTCCTCTGAACAAAATCCTCCAGGACAAAAGGTTGCATCCCTCCCCAGACAGATTCAGTACTCCTAGATTAAGTAGGACTCTGAAAAGGCAGCGGCTTCTTGCAGGAGATTATCTGCACTGTTCTGCCTTCCTATGATTTCATAAGGAAGTGGAATACAAAAGCTGTCATTCCAAAGGCTTTCATCAGTTTATATGTGTGCATTTAGCGTAATACAGGGGAGAGTCTCCTCTGCTTGGATGATCAAAGAAAACATTAATATATCAGACATGAGACTGATGAGCAAGCTGCACATCCAGAATCTTCAAAAGAGGCTAATGAAATTCCTTGGAAGCAGCCTGATTTTTGTTACATATAGGTACACACAGGGGTGCATATGACAATGCACTTCCAGACCATAGGGTTCAGAAATTACCCTGGAACCAAAGTGATCTGCCTAATCGGTGCTCAATAACGGTACCATGAACAGACTGACTTACAGTCAACAACATTCAAACTCTCTTTAAAGAAAGAAAGATCAGTGTACAGCTACCTATGTGGAGCTGAGGATCTTAACCGTCTTTTGCAACCTAGCTGATTCTATGATTCTATACTGGAAGGAAATTCCTCAAAGTTTTGCTTGCTTGAAGTTCACTGAATTTAAAATAGAAATAAGGAAGTGTTTGGGTTGTTGGTCTGTTGGTTTTTTTTTTGGGGGGGGGACGGGACCATAATTCTGTTTTCTCTGAGGGTGTAGTTGTTTGTTTGGTTTTTAATAAAAAGAACATTTCTGGCAGAAACTACACAGAACTTACCCCAAGAAAACAGATTATTTAGAATGCTTCAATGATGAAGGAAATCAAAATCATTATTTATAGCAAAAAATGTTATCTGTCTGGCATGGAACTTGCTCACTGAGGACTACCCTGCATTGCAGTGTTATGAATCATAGAACGATACAATCCCAGGTTGGAAGGCATGTCAACGATCATCTGGTCCAATCTTTCTAGGCAAAGTATGATGCAGACTAGATGGCCCAGCACCATATCCAGCCCAGTCTTAACTGAGTCCAACGCTGGGGAAAAACACCGAGAGCCTTAGAAGTACACGACAACACTTAAGCTTCTTTGCACTAGAATTTCATCCGTGAAAAAAGTTGTTAGTAGCAGCTTGCTCCTCCTCCACACAGAGAAACAGATTTCCCTTATTTTATCTTCCAAAGTCACAGTTCTTCAAATAAGTTATTCTCAGGGTATCAGAGACTCAAGGTTCACATGAAACCAGCATTCTGAACTGAATATTCACAAAAATATCCAAAGTCTTAACAGAAAGAAGGAGTTAGAAAATCGTAGCACAAATTACCGTCTTTCAGGACACCCTCCTCCATGGTGGTCAGTAAAATCTACATCGCTTCCACCCCAAACGGAACTATTCAACTCACTGAGCTATAGAAGAGCAAGTTAAAGACTGAAAGCTCTTAAATGAAGTACTTTTAGCACAGACATGTAATATTTTAATGCCAAGCTGCTGCAAGACCTTATGTACACTTAAAGAACCATTATTAAGCAGCTCTTAATGCACCTTTTCAGTTTGTAAGAACTCAAATATCCATCAGATACCTTGAACTAGAAAACAGTCAAACAATACGAAAAGTTGTATTAATAAAATACACATTGAAGTGACAGATCTGTGCCCCTGTGATCTCGTGAGTCATCTTCACTGCGATGGGAGTGCTCGGTGACTTCTCTCCCCTCCACGACGCTCCGCCAAATACTCCAGCCATGTGAGAATTACAGACCTTGATCTAATCGAGGGCATAGAAAGGGCTCTTCAGAGCCGTCCAGTTTTATAAGCAAAGTTGTGTTCTAAGAAAAGATTTACCCTGATGTCCCTCAAATTCCCAGTGATTATGATGTCTTCAGCACCTGGAAAGTTTCTTTAAGCTTTCTGAACCATTTGGGGGTAGCTCACGAGGTGAGAGTAGGCTAACCTCTACTCTGCTCCTTCGCTAGCTGTAGAAAGCCACAAAGGTACTTTGAAAGACCACTGACTCCTTCAGAGCTACACAACGAGCACCCAGCAAAGCAGGAGCCTTCATCCTGCACATTCACACCCAGGAATGAGGAGGACGCCGCACATCCCGCAGCAGCACCTCTGACTCCTACCCAGGATCCTCACCAGAAGTCAGGGAACACAGAGATATAAGACCCCCAGCTTTTGCTCCCCAGGTCTCAGACCCCTGCACCTTCTCCTACCCCATCCTGTATCTCAGGCCTAAAAACAATCATAAAAAAATCACAGAACGGTTTGGGTTGGAAAGGATCTTAAAGCTCATCCAGTTCCAACCCCTGCCACAGGTAGGAACACCTCCCACCAAACCAGGTTGCTCCAAGCCCCATCCAACCTGGCCTTGAACACTGGCAGGGATGGAGCAGCCACAGCTTCTCTGGGCAACCTGTGCCAGAGCCTCACCACCCTCACAGGGAAGAGCATCTTCTTAAGTTCTCATCTAAACCTCCCCTCTTTCAGCTTGAAGCCATTAAGGGCTTAATCACCCCTAAAAGATCAGACGCACAGAAAACCTTAGTCATGCCCATCTGCAGAACTAAACAATCTTCTCAATTATTCAGTTTGCTGCTTTTTTTAGACCGAAGCACAGAAAACCTGAACTCTCCTTTAGCGAACATGGCTGGATGCAGACCCATTCTGAAAAGCCTAAAGAGCTTTCTCTTCAGCCCAGAAAATATAAAAGCCTTTATAAATTATCAACTGCGCCAAACGGGACACATGAAGGCAGGTAAAAGAGGAAAAACAGCTTTAATTAGAAAGTACACCATTAAGTATCCTATTTAGAAAGTGTTAAATACAAGGAATGACTTTTCCACTGATTTTGTGGGGTTTGGGGGTTATTTGTTTGGGGTTTGGGTGGATTTTTTTGGTTGGTTTGTTCTTTAACTTCGTGCACTAGCAACTTAACAGCACAAGAGGGTTAGATAACAAACACCAAAGACTGAACTTCAGCTGGAGTGGCAGTTAAATCCTCCTATTGTATACACCATATCCTCAGAAATATTGTCAAGTGTGTATTACCATCCCCCCCCCCCCGACATGCAATTTCTCTGTGAATCCCCCCAAAAATCAAGCATTTTAAGCCAGAAGTGGTGCACTGCCACCAATCCTAGGCATTATTTTCTTTCTACTCCATACATGCAGATCTTTGGTATCTGGTAAAGTCCGGCATGGAAACGAGCATCCATCTCATCCATCCCCAGCTCAATTTTACTCCTTGAGCATTGCAGGAAGAAGTTCTCCTTTCTATTGCTGCATAACCACACACACCCCAACAACAAAATCATGTGGCTCACAGAAATAATTCCCATTTTAATGGATTAACCATATCAATTCTTCGACAGGTTTCTTTTCCAACGTGGCCAGCTGCAAATTCTTCCAGTTTAAGCCATTTACGTCTTTCAGCAATAATGCCAGCATGGTTAATCAGGCACACGCAGCTACCTGCGGATATTAACTACAAACAAGCAGCAGAATCCAAGACAACTCTCACCACAGTACAACTATTGAGAGGTTAGTTTGAGATGTTTATTAGGGTGATTTATTCAACACTGATGTACAACTTCACAACATACAAAGCACTGGAATCATTAAGAAAAATCAGAAGTGATAACAGACAAGCTTGTAAGCACAAGAAAGTTAAGAGTATATTCTGCAAAGGTATAGTATCATCTCCGAAGACTGGAAGTATGAATAACATGAAATTTAAACAGAGAAGCACATTTGGTAGCTACCTGGCTTTCTGAAAATAAAACCTGAAAAATGAAACACACACCCCTGCATATTCATTTGCTACATTGAGTTTTCAGCAAGATACATGTGCATTTTCTGGGAGTGACAAAAGGTGAGCCACATAGCATTCATCCTCCTACACCCCCTTACGCCCACCAACAAACACACAGAAAGAACCATCTCTTCCTCCACCTACAGGTCACATTCAGATTTGTAAACCTAATGACATTTAAAATAAACAACATAAAAATATGGTAGGAGGAAAGAAAAAAAGTGGTAGTGTAATGGAATGAATTATTCGTGTTAGCGGTTGCAAGAGTGCCTAGGCCCCAGGGGGTGTCCCTGCCTGCATTCACAGTCTCTGCTTTGGGCTGCTCAGGGCTCTGCTGTCCTGCTTAGCTCATGCTCATCCCACCTGAGTCCACTGAGCTGGGGGTTCCTGCACCAGGCAGATCACTCCACAGCTCAACCAACCACTGCAAGTGCTAGAAACTCCCCTCCAGCCAACATGTTGAAGCATTCTTGCATTTCAGTCAAATAAAGCAACTGTGGGAGAGGAAGAAAGTCTGATATTCAGTTAATCTGAAACCTTCTATTATTCAATCAGAGAAATTCTCTCTGTAATTCATTATTTATTCTCTATTTCTAGGGCACAAATTTTTAAGCCCACTTAAGGCAAAAGGTGAGAAAGAATGGCTTGGGGAACCAAGTTAAACACCTCCAAACTAGCCGTGATGCTGATTTGCTCCAAAATCAACCACATTACAAAAAAAACAGCTACAAAGAGGTCTTTAAAAATAAAGCCAAGAATATAACAATCTCCTTATATGGCAACAAGCACCAAAGAACACCTCAAGAGGAAAGCACTTCATGACAACAAGCACCAAACACCTCTCCTTGCATCACACACCACTGCTCACCCCTCACCTTTTCAGTGTGACTGAGTAGATGATCTGACGTGCAAAGTTCAGCTGGAGAAATGGTCCAACAGATGCAGACCAGCATGAGACAGGCCTCCCACCCACTGAAAGAGCACTCATGAGGCTTTGCAGACTTGTCAAATGTAAAAGCTGTTGGCTATGTGCTACCCTGTGGCATTATTCCCCGTGAAAGCCATGCTTGCCCATGTATCCTGTGTCCCAGCTACCATTACAGCTCTAGTCCACTGGGAAATGTTTATTTTTTAGCTCAGCCAGGATTTGGTTGCAAAGGCTGCTGGCTTTAAGTGTGGTGGCTCTGCATATCAGACTGGCAAGGAAAGAGCCCAGCTCTGGCAGCTGAGTGCCTGAGGTTTCTTAGAAGTGACAGCTATCTACCTCAGAGGAGAAGCCAACGGTGTTGCTTGTTCAGAAACTGGCACTTTGAGGATCTCAGCTACTAACGAGGCTTGGAATGGTGGGTAAAGTAATGAATTGCTACCAAATTAGAGAATGAAAGCCTCAAGTTCTGATGCTCATCATTAAACAGGCAGATTACACACAGTTCATTGCAGCAACTCTGGACACTGCCACCCTGGGTGGGGAGCAGCTGAGGTCTCAGATTAAAATAATAAATAAATAATCAAGACACCAAGGGTCACTATTTGAGGGAGATCTTCAAAGAAAATCTTTCATTGAATAGTAGTATTAATTCAAGGTGCAATACAGTAAGTCATTAGTAGACAACATCAGAATGTAATCACAAGTACTGGCAGGGTACCAAGAATGCTCTGGTGCGAGCTACTTTCTTTGCAACAAGAAAATACCATATTTTTTAGGCAAGTGAAGGTGCTAGAATGCTATCCTTAGGCAATTTGGAGCATCATGTCCTACCTTAAAACTAGATTTGGGTTCAAATAAATCCTGTACTTGTATCAGGTATTGTAGGCAAGGTCCCTTTAGCTACATAACAAACTCGAACAAAATGTTCACTCATCTACAAAAACCTTTAGCCTCATGTAAAATACTAAGTAGTCTCTCAAAATTCCAAAGAAGGAAATAATTTAGTTTTCTCTGTTGAATGGCAGGAACTAATACTTTTGTGTCTGGAAACCTTTGCACCTTTTATAGAGACAGCAGGAACTGCAGTGGATTTGCTGACCTCTTGCAGTTTGTTCCAGGTTCAAACTGGCCCACTCATTTTGGTAGTGCTGGAAACAGTCACAAATATTTCATCACAGATTTAACAATTTAGTCCTAGATCTTTTCTTTCTCTCAGCTGTAGAGACGACAGACTATTTTTCATGCTAGGTAAAATTCCATCCAAAGTTGTCATTACCAAACCAAAGCTAGAAGTTAAAGAAAGGCAATTTTCTTTCTTACTTTCAAGGCTTCAGAAAGCAATATGGCAGCAAGACAACTTCCTGAGGCAGGAATTTAGGGTTGATTGTTTTCCTTTATACCCCCAGTTGATGGCAAGCACTGGAACCCCACAACTGACCCCACACAAGCCAGAGACAATCTGCTTGTGTCTCAATAAACATGGACTTTTCCTAATCTGTTTCTGAAGTCTGTATAGTAACTGCTATGATGTGAAAACCCATGTTTCAAAGAAGACAACATTATTAAAGATAAAATCTTCCTAAGAGAAGGTTTCAAAGCAGCAAGGATAAAGGCAGATAACAGCATTATTCTACAAGGCTGCGGTGAGTACGGGGAGAAGGAAAAGGGGCTGCAGTCATGGTGGACCCATCCGCTATGAAAGCACAACTTTAACATCAAACCTTCTGTTATTAGGCATCCATGAAAAAGTATATAAATTAAATTTTAAAGTGGTTGAACTCAAAATGGAGCTGTAGTGGTGATTTAAAACCAGTGGGAGTGCTGAAATAGTGCAGTCCAAAACCATCATGCACATTTGTGCTTACACAAAGAAAGGAAGGTTTCAACAAGCACTGCAGAGCAGAGAGGGAGGAGGAGCAGGGCTGATCGGCCAACAGCACAGCTACCCTTTGGTTTCTTCTACATGTACAGTCCAAGGATGTAAAGCAAGAGCTCTGTAAAATGCTGAAGATTTTAGAAGTGTAATGGCGGGTAGAAAAGTACACTGGTCTTGTATCAGTGGCAGCCCCAGTGTTAGGAGACAGTCTAGGCTTCTAGGAGGAGAAAATAGAAGAGAGGAAAAGAAGTAGGAGAGGGAAAAGGGATGGGGAAAGGGGCAAAAAAGCGCAAGTCATTAGTAAACATGAACATTCAGGTAGCACACTGCACAACAAGCAATATTTCATTTAGTGCAGCCAGGAGATTTGCCAAAAGCCAGATAAAAGACGTGGAATTTTGCTTCTAGAAGTGTCTGAAAATATATCACTAGTCAGGCTAAGGCTTGACATTGTGCCACATGCAAAAATCAGCTGTGACAAATCAAGATTAGTGACAAACAGTTATCAAGAGAGCAGCAGCTCAGGATGCTGCTTAAAAGCACAATTTACTCTGAGAACAGTGACTCAGTATTTCTGTGACCTGATCTCAGATGACAGGACAAGAAGCAGGCTGGCTGGGGAGAAAGTCCAGCTAGGGAAAGTATGAACACTGACAGCGATACTTCCCCAGGTTACTTCTCACCTTCCAGCAAGATAATGACCAGGATCTTAGAAAAAGAGATATCCAGATTAAGCCACATGCTCATCCTTGATGGATTTCTTTGCAGAAATTTGGTTTGGTTTGGGTTTATATATATATATATAATATATATAATATATGTAATTCCTTTGAACTCTAGGCAAATATCCTGCAATAAGGAGTTCCAAACATTGCACAGTTCAAAAATTAGACTGTTTGTTTGTTTAAACCTGCTGTTAACAATTTTACTAAGCACCTTTTAACTTTTGCATAGGGAAAGTTAGCAGTTAGCTCCCTAACTCAATACCTGCAGCCATCAGTGAACATACAGAATGGTTTGGGTTGGAAGGACCTTGAAGACCATCCTGTTCCAACCCCCTGCCATGGCCAGGGACACCTTCCACTAGATCAGGTTGCTCCAAGGCCCGTCCAACCTGACCCTGAACACTGCCAGGGATGGGGCAGCCACAGCTTCTCCGGGCATCCTGGGCCAGGGCCTCACCACTCTCACTAAGCTTAAAGCCATTCCCCCTTGTCCTGTCCCTGTCAGCCCTTGTCAAAAGCCCCTCTCCAGCTTTCTTGTCAATCCCTTTAGGCACCGGAAGCTGCTCCAAGGTGTCCCTGGAGCCTTCTTTTCTTCAGGCTGAACAAGCCCAGCTCTCTCAGCCTGTCACCATCGTAGAGATGCTCAAGCCCTCAAAGCATCTTCACAGCCTCCTCTGGACTTGCTCCAGCAGGTCCACGTCCTTCTTATGTTGCACAACTTATAATCTTTAATATAATTTATAATTATATATATATTACTTAGAATTTATAAGTTATATTAACTTCTAAACTTATAATTTATATGTGATTATAAGCTATTAACAATTTCCACACACTGATTCATTCGCTTGAGTTGCACCAGACATGCACAGCTTCCTTCCAAACACTGCACCAGCTGCTCTTCTATTCATCCTTATAAGGAAGAACAGAATCAATAGAGGTTCAGTCTATGTGCTGAGCACCCAAGCCAGAGCTCCAGGTCTGCAGCTCTGCAATTCTCAAAAATAAGAAAACAAAAACCCCACAAGCCAAATAAGTGATCATCACATAAGGCTCAGCACTGCCAAGAACTGAACCGTTCAAAGAAGCTGCTGGTCTCTTCCTTTCAGGGAAAGCAAATGGGGGCAGAGAGTTCTTCTCTACCGCATGGACACAGGTTTGGACCGTCAAGTAAACAGCCAATATAAAGTTAACTGGTCATATTTTTCCTTTACACTCTGAAATACTGAGCTATACGCATCCCTGCATCAATGGTTTAAATGCATCCCTGTTATAAGAAAGATAATTGAACAGTTAATCTAGGGTTTGCCCCCAAGTTACATTAGCTTTGGATTTATGCCATCTAGTACATTAACGGTATTTTGGAGTGGGGCATCCGGTCAGGAGGCAGCACAGGCTGCCAAACCAGCACTAAAACTTCAGTCCTGACTGATTCTAACCTCTGCATACACGTACACCAGATGTCTGTAGATAATGTTGCACGTAATAAACAGTAACAAGTCATCACCCTGTTTTATTTGATAGGTGATAATAAATAAATGAATGTGCAGCAATGCTTCCCGTGATCTAGAGATAGCAGACATCTGGATTCTCAAATAGCTTAACTACCTCTTTCCCCAATATTTTCCTTGAAGTCTGTTTCAGAATTCAACTCAAACACAGCTCTGCCTTTAAAAGCTCATTCTATAGATCTTAACACTACTTTTTGTAGCAAAAAGCTGGTTACCTTGAACATCTCCTTTCTTACTCGTCTCTCAGCTACTCCATTTTCCACCTCTGCACTGAGCCCACACTGCACATCCTTAAGAATAATTTCAGCTTGAGAGACAGATTAGGGAAGAGATCCAGCTGAAAACAAGTAAGCCAGCCGAAACTTGAAGGTGGCTTAGGGCCAGGGACTAACAGCTTTAGGCAGCACCACCTATTTAAAACGGAACCAGGCACTGATGAAGTCCATCTCCTGGTGTGGAAGAACTCTGTATTTCTGCAGAGCATCAACTGCTCTTCAACTCTGAAAAAAGCCCCCATTGTATGATTGAAAGTCAGTGTTTCTCCCTCACTCCCCAACACATAAACATAGCTATTTCAAGTATTCCACAGAGAAGGGGTAGGGAGAAAGAGCCTGTGAAGTAGCTGTGTTGTGTAAATCTTATGTTATTCTGTTAGACCTAATTAACTTGATGCCCTCAACTCTTCATCTTTTGACATGCTGTTCCTACCACTTTGATGTCACTTTTAGACAGCCTTTAACAAGAAAAAAAAAAAAAAAATAATCCAACTCTACACCACAAAGATAGAACACATTAATAAATTAAAAAGCTCCTGACACATGAAAGTATCTTTGATCAAAGTTTTCATTCAGTGTGTGAAGAGTTAATCCTTCAGAAAGCTAGTATTAAATAAGATACTTTTTAAGCACAATTGAGATGCTCAATAAAAATATTCCAATGCATTTAATTAGTTATACCTGGAGTATTATAAATCTGATTTTATTTCTGTCTCCATTTATATATATATATATATATATATACTTGAGAGAAGAGTATCCTTATCAGATTCAAAAGTGTTCTCAATTTCAATTTGATGCTAAATTCTAAAACATGCACAGCTTCTTTCTAACCAGATTTACAATGGCAAATTAAATACAAAGACCAATTTTTATATTCTCACCCTCAATAAGAAGATGAAGCTTGCTCACCTCTGAACAGAATTACAGCAAATAAGCATTTTAACTCAGCCCCACCTCGGGGCCACACCAATGAACTAGCTAGGATGCCAATACTGGGCACATCCAAACCACCTCAGCAATGATCTGTGCTGCTAAAGCCGAGCTGGAGATCACGAAAAGGGAGACCAAATAAATAGCTCTTACCAATGACAGGATGACAATTAACTTCTGAATATTCCACCCTTGAGAAAACAGAGGTGCTACAGAATAGTCTGTCAAAGCCCAAATCCTCCTCACCATAAAACAAAACAACCAGCTGGCTCCTGAACAGGCCACAGAGCTGGTACTGCTCATCCTGATTATGTTCAGGCAGAATTTGGCAGGAAACTCAATTCACACTAAGAAAGTCCTATAATAGGGACTCTTTTTTATCCTTAACTGTAACTGCTAAAACTGCTTAAACAGACTAACCTCAGCATGTCAGGCTGACTACAAAGATCATTTTCCAGATACCTCACAAATCTGAAATAGTGGTCTACCTAATGCTGCATAAAAAAAGAAAAAGGTTCAGATGACCTCAACTTCATATTTGACATTGCTAAAGCAAGTATTAGGAGATACTGACAGCAGGGTAGTTTGGAGTGGAAGAAGCTGCTGAATAAACAGAGCAGTAATTTCAGGAGCAGCTAAGTAGTGAATAAAAAAACTGCATCAAAAGATGGTGTACTCAGAAGAGACATCTCTGTTGGTCTCGCAGACAACAGGAGAAGTCGCACTCACAGGTCAGGGTGAAGTTCAGCTATAAGCCACTTAGGACCCACTACCCTAGAAGCTGCCTTCCCAACACTGACCATGGATGAAGCATACAGTATCTTCAGAACAAGGCTTTATGCAAATAAATTCAAACCCAAAAGAGAATGAAGTTCTATTTGTTTAAAATTAATTGAAAAGAGCATTAAAAATAAAATCAACTCCCTATGAAGAAGACTCAAAAAGAAGATACATTTGGTCATACCTGCATTTAACAAAGAAAGACCTCAATGTGTTTCCTTCAAGCATTAAGCACATACCTGTGCGGTGATCTATTCCATGGTCACCATTTTCTACAACTGTTGGCCCAGAAGCTGAAGTATCTGCAAGAAAACAAAGGAAACGTTAGCACTGGACGAAGTTAATCCAAATTTTAAAAACAATATTGTAAGGACTGTAATGTTACAAAATTACTGTAATGTTATCAAAATCAGATAAGGGTGGGAATTTTTTGCCCAAAAGTTGCTTTTTAAATTTGAAGGCACCCACACGGCACCAAGTCAGCACAACTTAAAACCCAAAGGAAAAAGCTTTTCAATCACAAACTCTAGAACCATGAAGGAGACTCAAGGCACAACTAGATGCTTCTTTATCTATCCATACCAAACTAAGTTTTCCTAAGGGGCAGCACTAGACTCTGTATTTCCTTCAAGCAAATGATGTTTAGCCAAGCTGATGAAATTCATGGGCTTGGTGAAGGTGAGGCAAGCGCAGTTGCTGCTGTCGACCTGGACTTTAATAAGGCTTTTAACACCATCTCCCATAACATCCACATAGACAAACTGACAAAGCACGTCAGATAACTGCAGTTAGGTAGACGGGAAACTGGCTGAACAGGCAGGCTCAGAGGGTGGTGGTCATGAGCACAAAGTCCAGCTGAAGGCCAGACACTAGAAGTGTCCCCCAGTGGGGCCAATAACATCTTAATTAACCTGAACAATGGAACAGAGCACAGTCTCAGCAAAAACTGGGAGGTCTGGCTGATATACCAGAGGCTAGTGATGCCATCCAGAGGGACCTGGTGAGGCTGGAGAAATGAGCAGAGAAGAATCTCCATGAAGTTCAACAAGGGAAAATACAAAGTCCTGGACCAAGGGAGGAAGAAGCCCAGGCAGCAGTACACACAGGGGGCAACTCACTGGAAACCAGACCCTGCAAGAAAAGCCCTTGAGGTCCTGCAGGAAGAGCCCTGGGACCTGGTGGCCACCAAGTTGAACATAAACCAGCTGCCCTTGCAGCAAAGATCAACTGAATCCTGGGCAGAGAACTGCCAGAAGACTGAATGGGTGATTCTTTCCTTCTCTTCAGCAAGGTTGAGACACATCTGGAGTCCTGGGTACAGCACTGGACTTCTCAGTACATCAGAGATGAGCTACTGGAAAGAGGCCAGTGAAGCATCCCAAAGATGATTAAGGGACTGGAGCATCTCTCATATGAGGAAAGGCTGAGAGAGCCAGGGCAGCTCACCCTAGAACACGACCAGCACCTGAAGGAAGAGGCTGTAAAGAAGCCTGAGGTGCGCTCTTGTCAGTGGAATCCAGTGACAAAACAAGAGCCAACAGCACAAACTAATTCCCCAGGATTTTTAACTATTGGTCTACTTCAGCCATGACAAGTTTCCTGCAGAAAAAGCTATCCTAATACTATTGGAAAAAAGGATCAGAAGACCTCAATTTCAGCTTTGACAGCACACTGTCAGCACTGACAGCAGATATCAGGGAAAGATTTAGACAAGGGTAGTTCAGGGTGGAAGACCACCAGTTCCAAAAAAGAGCATATACTTACCACTAAGAGATTTACTCTACCTTGTTCTGACTTTGCCAGATAAAATTTTAACAGGCACCAGGATTTTCACACTGAGCTTAGAAAAGATGGCAGCAATACAAGACCTAGTGACAGCTGAGGCAACTGGGAACCAAATAATGGAGCCCTAAACTTGGCTTTGCAGTCTTCTCAGTGAGCGGCTGCCTTTGGAAAGCCACCCTGCTAACAGGGAGCTATCTCCAAGTGTGTATTGGTTTTGAAAATGCTGATTAGAAATCATCTTCGGGAGTAATTAAGGAATTTAATTAATACAATACTTTTTTTTTTTTTTTTAAGTACGCTTGTTCTAGTACTCACACAGTTCTTCCTAATTATCAAAATACACTAGTGAAATTCTGCATTCACCCCATAATCTCTACACTGGGCTGCTGAGGGTCAATACAATTGCTTAGGCAAACTGCTTGAGGAACTTCATATATTTTGAATTATTACTTTTGAGATCAGACTATGGGCATTACAAAAGTAGGTGGGTTGTGCTGGTACTCATACGGGTGCAGGCTGTCAGCAGCACAGTGTTTCTGCAGGTGACAACCACCATCACAGGGGAATATTACAAGACCATTACCTTAACTGAAATCATTATCCCTGTACCAAGTTTTAAAATACATATTCTAATATCTTCTTCCATGAACTCCACTTAATTTCTAAGCATTTACCCAATTTTCCAGTTGTGAAACAGTGAAGACAAATCACTGCCAGAACAAAACTAGGTAGTATTAGTTAAGTATAACAAGCAGTACAAGCTCTAAGAGCAGTTCAGCTCCTCAGGCCATCAGTTCTACTTAATGTGAAGAAACACTCAATCGCTTGAAAAAAAAAATCCTCTAAGTAAAGTAAAATCAATCCCAAAGAGAGATACATTCAGTTACCTTGGGAGTCCCTTCCCTGAGCAAAAGCAGTATACCCTCAGACACAGCATTTCAGGGTTAATCCAACCCTCAGTAAAGCAAAAGGGAAGTCTTTGCAGCTACTTTCAGAGGCTCATCCTGGTGTTCTACAAAAATTCAACATGAACTTGCCAGACAGCTTATAGAAAAACATACACCTACATCTTCTTCAAGTAGCTGAAAATACTACAGGAATCCCTGGACCTGTTTCTTAGCAGTTAAACACACCAGCTCCTCCTGCTGTCAGTCTTTACAAGGTCTGGTATTTACTCTAACAGTAGAACTGTCTTAAGTAGTAACTGGGAGAACTACTGCCAGTCACTGAATATACCCATCAGGCAAGGAGAAACTGCAGTCATGGGATGGTTTATACAACACAGTTTCACAGTTACCAAAAGGTACACTGGGCATCCCATGGAGTAACAAAGTCTTATAATGAGACCTCCAAGAAATCACATTAAAGAGCTATGCAGGTCCTGCTGAACCCTCCAGTTAACAGCAGGGAAGCTTAGTCCAACTGCAAGAGCAATAAGTTCTCTAAGTCCTGCTCAAATGGGTGCCATGACGCAGGTTTAATGGAAGTTGCTGACAATGGCCCTTTAACAGAGGCTTCACAAGTCTTTCCTAGTCTTCATTCAGGCAAAATGTGTCAAAAAGTCTTTTGCTGATGGGGAAAATAAACAGCAACCCCCACATCCCCATTACCATGACCCACAATATTACTCCCATTTCTTCAGTATTTAAACTGTAATTGAAAACTTGAGCGCAAGCTGGTTTAAATTGGACAAAGCAATCACATACCACTTTCAGTTTCACTGGAACCTGATCATTTCACCTTGCACAGACAACAAAGGTGTTGAAACATTTCTCAAAGTGGTTTGGGTTGGAAAGGACCTTAAAGACCATCCAGTTCCGACACCCCTCCCACAGACAGGGACACCCTCCACTAGACCACTTTGCTCAGAATTTTACATACCCTTGTCTGAAGCCCCTCTCCATATCACTTGTTGGCCCCTTTAGGCACTAAAAGCTGCTCTAAGGTCTCCTTAGAGCCTCCTCTTCTCCAGGCTGCACTAGAGAAACCTTACAAGAGATCTTAGGGCAGTCTCATGGTCTGGTCCTGATGCCACTACCGCATATCCATGCATTAGAAACAGGACTTGACTTGATCACAAATACGGCCAAACACAACAAATTACACATTTGGTCTGCAAGTCTGCATACTTTAAGCACTTGCTTCAGTTGCAAAAATACACTCATCTGTAAGACCGGCCTGGTAGCACTTGGAACAAGGAGTTTGTGCACACTTCAGGTCAGCCCAGCACTGCACACAGGCCACTCTGTGGTGCTTCTGGCAATCCAGTGCATTTCAGCTATTCAGAAAATAAACACTTCATCGGTAGAAGTTTCATTCTGAGACTGCTTTCCCAGGCAGCAAGTAATCCAAGCCAATTGTGTTCTATCAAAGAAAAAAGCCAGGACACCCCAGCCTCCCCTACCAAGGACTCTGCAAACTTAAAATGAAACAAAACAGAAAAATCCTACCAAAACATCAGTCAAGCCTACCAAACACTATGGTAGCTGAATACAAAGACAGCTCAAAGCCAGCTGTGTTTCTAGCTTAACATTCCACAGAGCTGACAGGGCTCTCACATCTATGCAGCTTCCAGAATACAAGCACAAATCATTCCTTCAACAAAATTTCACCTTAGTCAGTCTCATATATTCTCTCATTTGAAAAAAAAATGAAATCAAATGTTAAGACATATATATTGAAAATCCTCCATTTGCTTTAACAGCACAGGAATTAGGGCAAAATAATAGGTTAAAGCGGTTTTCAGGGTTCCTCTCCCTCTCGGCACACTGACTAGTAACCATAGTGGCTGCTCTTCCCTGTGTGCACTCTGCTAGCTGCAGCAGGCTCCTTCTGTGCCATCAGAGCCACATCAGGGGAAGCAGTTGACAAAGCTCCTGCCACCAGAACAGCAGAAGAACCTGGCAGGTCTGATACAGGCAACAGCTTTTACCTCACTCAAAAAGCTCTGCAAGCAGGCAGGGATAAGTTTGTCTTGCAGAAAATTGGGTCAAATCAAACAACTCCACCCAGCACCAGTAGTTTTCATTTTTATGTCTCTGAAGGTCAGCTCCTTTGGAGCAAATCACATTTATTTTAGTTAGCTAGTGATTCGGACCCCCTTGTCTCACTGGAGTGCAAGTGTGAAAGTACCCAGCGATCTTCCCAGGGCCAGCGCTCCTCCCCTCATCTTCTTAATTGCATAAAAACAAAAACATGTCAAGATGTTGTAACTACATAATCCTCATCAGAATCACAAGATAGTATTTGCATCTGGCTAGTGGATCAAAGGATTGTTTTTATATAAACAAATTTAAGTCAGCATTCGCTAAACCGATAATCTCCAGCAAATGGACATTGCCAATATAAAAAAACCTTAATCTCCAGCAGTGACTTGGCGTAGCACACGTGCAAATATAACCACAGCTGAGCACATTTCACTGACAGATCTGCAACCTGCTCTGTACTAGGCTTGGGATACCAGAGGGCAAAAACCAAAGTGGGCTCTTGGCAGGCCAGCATAGATGGACAGGTTGTGGATGAGAGTCGTTTCGCATGTTTCATCATTTTATCACGCATTTGTGGGCACAGGCTTAGTGGAACACAACTCTGAGAGAGCTTAGACAAAAATAGCTGTAACGGGGAACAAAACCACTGACAGAGTGTCATGCAGTCAAAACTAGATGATAACTCTTAAACAAATAGCTTAAGCTATTTCAATTCATGAATTCAAGTATTCTGTCTCAAAATGGCTTCTGAGCAGCAGTCAAGTTCATCGTCTCAGAGTCACCAAAAAAAGGCTTAAGAGTTTTGTTTGCCCTTTGGCATTCCAATATGACAAATACTTGTTTCGAGTTCTCAAACTTCTCTCTCTAACCATGAAAATCAAAGTAGAATTTGAATTTAAATAGAAGCCAAGGCTTCCTTTGTTTTGTGTTTTGGGATGCCAAAACTTTCAGAAGCACCAATGTACTGTCAGAAAGGATGAAGAGCAGCACAGATGCACCAGCAGGTCTAGCATCCAAGGACATAGAATCCTCAGAGAACTCCAAGTGAAGTTCACTAATTGAGCACAAGTATTATCTGAGTGATGCTAAACTGGTGTAAAGCAACTGAGCTGAAAACATAAAAACAAAACCAACTTTTGCTTTGTGAACTGTAACAAATAGATTAATGCCTCCACCTGCGTTCATAAAACATGGAGGAAAAAAAAAGAAAATTTTGGCTTATTGAGACAATACTTAAGGCACTCCCTCCTTAAGAAAAGAGGCATATTATGTAGTTAAGCAATTCAACCAAGATCCAGGCAGATTTACAATACAATCTGCACTTCAAACAAAAAGCACCAAAACCATCTTCACACTGAGATATACTCCTGACAGATGACTGGTACAAGGCCTGCGCTGAAAGGAACCTGCAGTTTCTGCAGCTGGGCCATGATGTGCTGGGAAAGCAGCTGGAATGAGGGCTGAAGTATACAAACCACACACAGCTTCAGAGTGCACCTTCAGAATGACCTGGGCCTCCTGAACTATATTTGTTTCACAAGCACCTAACAGATCTGAGAGTGCACTCAAATCACACTCAATACTTGTGTTTTGCACAAAAATAAATACAGAGATTTATACCAGGAGAAACTTTAACAACTTTGGGGCAGGAACAGGGATGGACAGACTTTCAGAGGGAGAAGGTGTTTAATGTATCATGAGAGATTAAAATACAAGTATCTTGACATCATTGCTGACTTGTTTTAATGCCTCTGAAACTTTGGGGTATATGGAGCATTCTCCATCTTTGGTTTCACATGTGATGGAGTGTCAAAATCTTCTTTTTCAAAAGCAAAGCATGTTACTGCCTTCTGCAAGAAAGGCACTTAGTCCTAGTGCAAAAAGGGAGGTAAAAGGACAGGGAAACGTTGTGGTTTGCCTGCTTCCAGGCTGCACAGCTGTTTCGTTTCCGTCCCAGGGGAGGATGTCTGGCTCTGGAGCAGTGCCTGTCTAGCAGCATCTCCCAGCGCAAGCAGAGCCATCTTGTGGTGATGTGTGCTTGAAATAAACCCCAAAGCCACTGCCTAGAGCAAATTAAACTAACTTCATCCCTCACATCATGCTCAGGATTGGCTTCCCTATGGAAAAACTGTATATGAAGCTAAGACTCTTCGCCAAGTTTGTGAGCAGAGAGTGCAAGAATGCAGAACATGCACTTACTGTGTACAAGACCACAAGCAGTTACGCCTCAGACTTGGCTTTGCATACAATTCCTCAACACCACCACAGTCAAACGTTTGAGAAACAATACTGGTCCTCACTTGAGCTGAAACATTCCACAGGAGCAATGCTGCCAGATGTTAAAGCACAGTATTTTCCTTTCAGATCTCTTTCTTTGCACTTTAGGATTCACACCCATTACTTCACACAAGCACCCTAAAACTGCCACTACAGCCTCCATCACTTCAACTGGAGGCTCTGCAGTATCCTCTGAACTGCTTGGAGCCTTGGAACCCATAAGGAAAGCTAGCTTCAAACAGTGTAGCACACACCCAAAGCGATCCTCCAGTATTACATAAAGCCCACAATGTCATAAGAGGATTACTCCAGAATTCGCCGAATTGTGATGTCCAGCCAGGTGCTACAAGGAGTAAAACCCTTTCTCCCTGAGCCTTGCTGTTCCAATGACATTTTAAAAGTTAACTGTTACTACAGCCTTCTTCTAGGACAAATGTGTAGATGACCCTACAACTGTTCACTCCATCTCCCTCCCTTTCTCCATATCTCTGCACTCACACAGTTCACCCAGGTCCATAATGGGAGCCTATCTGATCGTTAAACTTGGCTGTGGGTTTATTAAAAAAGTGAAAGAAAAACCTGGAGTAGAGATGGAATAGTCAGAGCCTGACAGGACATATGATTAAACCTCTTCTGACTGGGGAAAGGCAATCTCAGCAGCAGAGACAGTGCTGTCTGAACACATCCGTTCCTTTTAACATAAATAAATTAACAAGCAGAGGCTGAAAAGCCTGATCCATGAAAGCCACTTTCTCCCTCAAAGCCACTTTCTCCCTCAGGAAAACAAAGCTATCTACAGTCCTATTTGCAGCCAGAGACATAGAATTCCTGCTGCCTTTCACATAGCAGTCGTCCTTCCCAAAATCTTCACTATACTAAAGCAACACTTAAAACCCCCAATTAAGGCCTTTTAATATGCTCTCCCAGGCTCATTTGTTCTATAGCCTCAATAAAGGCAAGTACATTAAGCTTTACTCTCTTTTTAAAAAAAAAAAACAATTTTAAACATCGACTAAATCTCATGGAAGAAATAAGCAGCCTTGCCACTTCAGGGAAAAACATATGTAAATCAAGACATAAACAGGACCAAATCCTAGAACTGGCCTGTAGTAAATTGATACTGCAGAGCTTGCCAGTCCTTTCCCTCCTGGTACAAGGTGGGAAAGCTGAAAAACATTATCTTAGCCACTCAAGGCCATCAAGCTGTCCAATTTCTTCAGTTAAGGTCTTGTTTTCATCTTGCCAAGGATTCAGATAATGCTAATAGCTGTTCTCCAGCTATCCCGAACAAGGGAAAAATAAATCCCCAAACCAAGAACGAGAAATTGCGTATCTCTCCCCCCCCCTTCTCCCTCACCATGTAGGAGGGGAACTAGTTCTGCTCAAGCAGCCAACCAACCAGTTGTACAGCCAGGGAAGGCACTGTGAAAGGGAAGGGAAGTTTGGAGAGACAAGAACTGCAGATAAGCAGCCCAGCCCAAAGGGAACCTGCATTAGCGCCCCTATATCTCTTCCCACAGAAAGCAGTAGTTTCTCACAGGCCAGTTCAGCAAGTTTTAATTACCAAGCAAAACAAATAAGCTTCAGTATACCTGCTTCAGGAACCTGAAGTTATTTGAAATAGTGAGTTATGATGGTAACATTCAAGGGATACACATCTGGAAGGACAGAACTTAAGGAACTTACATTTTAAAACAATATCATATAATCATATTAATGTCAAGAAATTCTGGTACTGAGATAGCTCAGAATCCAAAACTCTCAGATAACAAAGCATTATTTTAAGCCATCCTTAAACTATATGCAAAGTGTTAACAAGTCTTCATGTTTCTCTGTTACTGCCACTTCTGCAATATAAAACACCTACCATTAGAGGTACCATAGCTGAGTACAATAATACATATCAAAATTGACCCAAGCTCAAAGTTCTATGATCTCTTTGCCCACCTCCATTCTTCCTACTCATTTGTTACCACGTAATGAACTATGTTACCATGAAAAATTCAAACCTGCATTTTCTGTATTACAAGGCACATGATACACTTCTAAACAATGCAAATAAGTGCCTTCAATAGACTAGGAGGACTGTGGTATCACTCCCCATGCTGTAATCCTGGAGCTTCTGTTTTTTCTGATAGGTGATCATTACAGCTCTGTACATTCTACTTTCATCAACACTGGTGAGCAGCAAGATTAAGGCAAAAATTACTTCTGAAACAATCCCAGAATGGTTTGGGTTGGAAGGGACCTTAAAGAAAATCCAGTTCCAATCCCCTGCCATGCACAGAAACACCTTCCACTAGACCAGGTTGCTCAAGGCCCCATCCAACCTGGCCTTGAACACTTAAAATGCTAATCTGCAAACCTTGCCAACAACGGCTAGTCACCTATCATTACACCTCGGATTTGCCATCACTCAGAGTGGTGGCATCCTGCACAGTTCTAGTATTTTGAGATGCAAAGCGCTGTATATACATGAGTAGCAGTCACACTTAAGACAGTGTTTTCTCTGAGAAGTCCAAGGCAGCCCATGAAGTATTAACAGAAATAATAATAGCACCTCCTGCAGACTAGCAACAATAGCTTATTTTACAGGCTGAAGAACTGAACTGAAGGTAGAGTAGAAAAGCAAGAAACAGGATTTAATCTCAATCTTTGCTTTTAAAATGAATTGTTCAGCCTAAACCCAGCAACCTATAGAAGTCCTGTTTTAGCAGGCTCAGCAATGTTACAAGTGTTCTCTGATGCTTAAACAATGCAGCTTTCTGATGTTGTGCTTTAGACACTTACTTTCCACCTGAGTACCATCTGCATGGGGTTTGCTCTTTGGTTCCTGACTCCCAGGTTTTGCATCATCATCGTCCAGCAGAGGAACGTAGTCTGTTTTATCTACTGTTTCTCCAACCACGTCATCAAATTTCTCTGCCTCCAGTGTGGCAATGAAGTCCCTTTTCACTTCTTCCTCAATCTCAGGAGGCGGCTCTGTCAGAGCATCCGCAAGACTGAGGTTGTGATCCAAGTCAGCCATGCTTCAGCACCTTTGCAACCTGAAAGATGATGGGGGGGGAGAAGAAAAAGAAACAAAAGGTCTCTTATTAAAACATTCAAGTTTCCTCAGTTTGATGTTGACAACTACGTGCCTCCTGTGCCCTGACACTTCAGGAAATACTTGCTTTAGTGCTCAGTAATTCCCAGATGTTTACAATCCCTCAAGTACAGAAACAAACAGGTACATCATCTAAATCAGGTTGTACTGCATGAACACTCCACTTCATGTGATATTTTATCAGAACCTTAAGAAAAAAGAAAAAAAAAAAAGGGGGGGGGACGGGGGGACGACAGGCCCCCAGTACCTGACCAGCATAAACAGAACCATATACATTGATTTCTACCTTGCCCCAGATCTCTGGGTTAATTACATATTCCCAGCAGCAGAAAGATATATGACGCAAGGGAATTTAGTTCTTGGGTTCTCTCCCTATGGAGATTAGGATTTTACATAATCTCCAATGTATACTTCGGTGATGGTCCTGCAGCATGTTTATGTCCTCAGCAAACCTCACTAATACCAACAAACCCTCTCTAGCCCTAGGATTTGTGCTGGAAGGTGGAGTTTTGATAATGCTTACATGAAAAAATACACTAAAACTACACATGCAAACATTAAAGTTATGAAACTGAAATGAAGCAGAAAGAATCAACATTTATTTTTTCCTCCCTGATTTGTATCTCGGCATTCAATTTAACTTCATGTCACTAAACAGAAAACCTACCTGAAAGGATTCATGTGTTTGGCAGCAGAAGCTTTCAGACTAGCGTAACATAACAAATACACACCTAATTTATTTATTTTTTTCACATTTCATCCCTTTGAAGTTATTATTAGGAACAGCTGCCAACACACACAGATGTGAATTTATAGCAAGCTGTCTAGAGGAACAAAATCCACCACTTCCAAGTGACAAAACAGTCATTTCTGAAGCTTTCCTTCAGAGCAGTGTTAGCCAGCATTCTGTACACATAATGCTATCAGAACAGCAAAGGTATCAAAAGCTCTATTAATACATTTTAGCTATTTGCAGAAGTTATCTGGTACAAACTGTAAAAACCAAAGCCATAAATTATGGAATCAGGGAGTGGTTTAGGTTGGAAGGGACCTTACAGCTCATCCAGTTCCAACCCCTGCCATGGGCATGGACACCTTCCAATAGGCCAGGCTGCTCCGAGCCCCGTCCAGCCTGGCCTTGAACACTGCCAGGGATGAGGCAGACACAGCTTCTCTGGGCAACCTGTGCCAAGGCCTTACCACCCTCACAGGGAAGTGAAGTTTAGAGTTCTAACAACAAATTCATCCAAAGAAACAGATATGAAGGAGCTTAGGTAAAGTGATCATAATTTTACAACCAACTCCCACTATATTTGACAAGAACCATTAAGGCAGATTAGGAAAAGCAGAGCTGAAGATACTGAACTGCACATGTAAAGAGGCACCAACACATTCCCAAGAAAACACAACGGGTATTTGTATGCTGGTTAATGAAGGGCTGACCCAAGTGGCCACAGTGCAGCAGCCCAGGGTCACTGACTTACAGGGTGATGGCAGAACACAGATCCTCTTGTTCTGAAAGAATAAAGGCTCCTACTCCTTGAACTGCAGGAAATTCTTTGTCAGCAGTATACGACCACCGACACATACCTACAGGCTTGAGCCTGCATCTAACAATATTTCGCATTCTTTATACACAATGGTATCACACTGATATTGTTGTTTATGTAATTACATGCAAGTATATTATGGAAACTAATTCAGTTAAAGCTGTTCTTTTTTCTCTTTAACAATAAAAGGTCAGACTTCAAGCCAGATCAGACTTCAAGCAGCAACTGCAGATTTTGTTCGTTCTGATAAAGGCCCTGAAGAGTTATCACTTAATGGAAATCTGGAGGTGAAAGGTTTGGAGCTCTCAACCCTCTGTGCAGAGTTACAGTTGAATGAATTATGATTATTACAAAAAGCCATCTTTATACTGAAGTGAGTTTTATTTTAGAAGTTTCCTTCAGATAGAGGTCTGCGCTACTATGAAGACACGTCAGCATGTAGAACTGACCATGCTACCCTTTTCTGAGTTTCAACCAAGCAAGACAGACACGTCTAGAAGTTTTATCTTTGCACTGGCCAGTCTCTTCCAAGGAAGAAATGGGGCTCTTAAATAGTTATTTTTTCAACCCTGTCCTCCTTTGTTTTCAACTTGGAAGTCAAATCACAGAATTGTTTCTGTTGGAAGGGACCTTAAAGCTCATCCAGTTCCAAGCCCCCTGCCACAGGCAGGGACACCTTCCACTAGACCAGGTTGTTCCAAGCCCCATCCAACCTGGCCTTGAGCACTGCCAGGGATGGGGCAGTCACAGCTTCTCTGGGCAACCTGGGCCAGGGCCTCACCACTCACACATGGAAGAACTTCTTCCTCACATCTCATCTAAAACTCCTGTTACTTTAAAGCCATTCCCCCTTGTCCTATCCCTACCTGCCCCTGTAAAAAGCCTCTCTCCAGCCCCTTTCGGCCCTGGAAGCTGCACTAAGGTGTCCCCAGAGCCTTTTCTTCTCCAGGCTGAATAAGCCCAGCTCTCTCAGCCTGTCTCCAGAGGGGAGGTGCTCCAGCCCTAAATGATGCTGTTCAGGAAGAGAAAAAAAAAAAAAAAAAAAACCCACCAAAATGAAACAAACAAGAGGGAGCTACAAATATTTAATCCTTTTTATTTAACAGAAAGAAGAAACATTTAGAATTTTTGACAAGCTGCTTCACAATGCTACTAGCAAATACAAGAATCAAGACTATGGTCCAAAAATAGCTGCAGAACATCCAATAACTCAGGAAACAAGCAAGCAAAGGCTGGGGTGAACACACCAGACGCCAACAGAAAAAACAGACTCCCATTCCTTACAGCAGGCATGCCAGACTGGGCAGAACTCAACTCTGCAGATGTCACAAGTCCTCATGCTCATAGCAAAAGCTTCGGTTCCACACCAATGCCAGCACATCAACGTTACCCAGCAAGAACCCAAAGCTTTATTTAAAAAGCATTTAGGAAAACCTCCCTTTTTAGCCTTGCTCCAAAAGCTCATGAGCAGTAGATTACAGTCAGTACACTGAACTCTCAGCTCACAATTTTCACACGTTCACTTCAGATTAAACATTGCTATTTTAGTTTCAGGAACATGACTGGCCTTTTAGGAGCATTTCCTCTTGACAGCTTAATTCAGGGTATGTCCAAACAGCAAGTCATTGCTGTCCTCCCACTCTAATGGAGACTATTACTCAACATCTTTATAGAGGTCCTTTAACATCCAGCATCCTTTCCTCTGCATGACCCAAACCTATCAATAGCCAAACTATCAATAGCCAAAACCAGAGACCTGTACAGCCATCATCATGATCATCACCATCATCTGCATTATATGCAGAGCAAGCTTGTAAGCAGTATTTAGATGGCTCAGAAATCACAGTCCTTGTTCCACTGAGATATTCAGTCACCTTTCCTCTAGAGCTACCCAACTGCATCTCAATTAATGGAGCAAATGCCTCTGGAGCTGCCACATCAGTGAGATTAGGGAAGCAATTTGGAATTCTGAAACCCAAATCAAGGTTAATTCCACCCAGACCATCCTCCAACATACGAATATTCTACCACAAGCAACTGATGGCTTCACATCATGCTTTTTTTCAGTCCATATTAGTGCAGTACCAGTTTATAAAATAGCTGCCATAAAATAGCATTGAGAACGCCTCTATTTCAGACCTGCGTCTGAACTAGGACGGACCCTAAAGCAATTTAATTTCTGGGGAAAAATAATAATGAGGTTACGCAGACTTATTGGCAGTACAATAGGGAATGCAGAAACTATGTATTAAAAATAAATAAATCACCTTCACTAATAAAAGTAATCTTACATTTTTGTAGCAAACACAGACATGGTATCTCAGGAACGTGGAAGCACGTCTCTGGGAACTGGACTAGAAGCTACTTCACCACTTCCCATTTCCGGTGCTACAGCAGCCAAACCACACCAGATCCCAAACACCCAGTTTGAACTAGGGCTTATGGAGTTAATGACAAAAGGAAAGTAAGTATACTGCAGAGATTCTGCCTGGGGGTAGAAGGCAAATACTGAAGCATATTCATGTGCTGATTAGCTTAGCAATCAGATGATGCTTGTACTATTTCCATTCATATGGAATGCAGTTAGCTTCGAAGAGGAAGCACTCCAGAAAGTTCATCAAGATGGACCTTAATACAGTGTGTTACGTAGCCACGCATATCAGATATTAACAGAGTACAAGTATGAATCCTGACAATTTTTAAGATCACAGAACCCTAGGATGGTTTGGTTTAGAAAGGACCTTAATGATCATCTTATTCCAACACCCCTTCCATGGGCAGGGACACCTTCCACGGGCAGGGACACCTTCCACTAGACCAGGCTGCTCCAAGCCCTGTCCAACCTGCCCTTGAACACTGCCAGGAATGGGGCAGCCACAGCTTCCCTAGGCAGGAAGAAAGTGCAAAAGTGAGGAACAACAGAGGTTTCAGAAGGCAGTAGTTTAAAAATGCATTAAATTCCTCAGCTGTGAAACAGCTGCTGAGGTCCTCCTGTTTGTTAAATAGCACAGGGAGTTAACAGCAATGATGAGGTAACACCAACCTGCCCAACTCAAGATTTCAATCTCTGAATGAGCCTCAAATGGCAGTCAAGTCCTCCCTGAAGAACGTCAAGTAAGTACTTTGCTCAGAGGAAAGGCATGGAGAGGAAGACACCATGGCATTATCAGTCCTGCAGTGACAGCTCTTCTACAGACATGGAAAAAAAGAGTTTTCCTGTAGCTAGACATTCCTCAATCAATACCAGGAAATCTTCAAATTATTCCACTGCAAATAAATCATAAACCCTCAATTCACACTTTTATTTTTTAAAGAACTGTTTAGCCCTCTTCATGTTCCAGCAACAGCTGATCTGTTATGTACAGTATTAGCCCCATCTGTTCTTTTCTAT